AAGACACTGACGATCCGAAAACGCAGGCAGGCGACAGCAACGACATTTTCAAAAATGCAAAGCGTTTCATTTTCTGGCCAATTATTTTTGCTACCCTGTCGCTATATTTCTGCTCTTCATTAGACAGTATTTCGTTTTTGTAGCGAAAACAATCACTAAGGCATTGTTAATTTCATTGTAATAATGTTTTTCGCAGTAATACAATGTATTGGCCGAGAACGAATTAGTGAACTACTGCATTATGTGTTAAATGGTCTTAGTATTATTCCCTTAGAGTACAACCTTAGAATTAGACTATAGTACAGAACTTACCTCATAGTGGAGCCAATCACTGTGACTAAAGTATATTTTCAATACTATAACTGACCTTAAACGAGTATAAGACATTCAGCCTTGTTAAAAACTCAAGTATGTACCTGACTAAAGAGTTTCTAGCATTAACATAGACAAAAGCTACCGGCACAGCGTCCTCCTCAAGAGTAACGTTCTCTTCAATTGCACAATTTTTCTTTCAATATGGAATTCCTTACTACAGCAAAATGGTTGGTTGTAGATCAAATGATCCCTGGAACAACAACAGGTTGGTTGTAAAAAAAATATAGTCGATTGTAAAACAAACAAGCAATCTAAGCAAGGGCTTACTTGCCCAAAAACCCATTGGCTGTGCACACGCTTTCGGCTGTACAATAAGTGATTGGTTGTAATGCAAACGATCAGTTTTATATCCAGTAGTCGGTCGTACAATTTATTAAAGATTAATAAGTTATAGAACAACTCACTATTCAGGTGCCCCAGAACAGTACCAATATATTTTTCAAGCACTTATTACAATCCGCAAATTTTTAATAATAACTAAGAAACGTTTGAATCGTTTATCTCATTGCATTGGTTCTTAAGATTTGCTTTTAGACTCATTGTATTACTCGGAGGTTCATTCATACTCATATATGGTAAATCTCGAAAGTTTCAGAACCATGCAAGCTCTTAATGAAGCCAAATATGCAAGATTTAGCTCATCTTGCATTGAAGATATTCCATCCATGCCACAGGTTAAGAGAATGTAGTGCAATGTGTCTGTATCCTGCTACGATTACAACCATACCAATCGTATTCTATTAAATTCGACCTTAGTCCGTTCCTGTTGTTAATATCAAGCTATTGGATCAATGGTAATAAAAGAAAGGTTGGATTGTGCTCGCCAAGTAATGAAAAATAATATCGATAAGGTAAGGCTCAATTACTTAAGAAACCTAACCAAAGTATATGAATGCGTAAGATTCTGAAATGTTTCATATATGTATATCAATAATATTGAATTAGAATTTATTAGATTTGCTCTTAATATATGCACTTATACTTATGTTAATAAAATCATATTGGAAACAACAAACATACAGTAACAGCTTTTATTTGAATTGGTAACCATTTATAATTCTTCTTCGAAATAACTTACTTACTTGGATAATACAGGAGTGAGTTGTCGTTTACTGCGTCCATTAGCCTCCTTCAAGCAGCTCAGTCAATGCCTTACTGGCTGCAGGCAGTGGTACCACCATTACGTACATGGTCCTTTCACCGAAGATTCGGACATCTTCCACAACAATTTCTATTGCATTTTCATTCTTTTGTACGATATAACCAATCCAAAGAAGCCGCTGAATTTTAATATTTTTCACTATATCGAGATGACGGTTTAGCACATACAGCGATGAGCTATCGATTCGTATAAATCAAGACTATAGATCTTTGAAAGAATTTTTCTCTTAATCCCTTTTCATTACTGTTGGTTATTGTCCAAATTTCTGACCCATAGGCATGATAAGCGTAATTTTTGCTTGTCAAAAAGACACCTCCTATATTTATTATTTCAAGGTATAAATGAAGCCGAAAATAGTCAAAAGCATATAATTTATATTTAATTAAATTAAATTAATTCAAAATAAAAAATATAAAGAAATTAGAATAAAAAAAATATTATTGTTTAAATTTTAATGTGAAAGTGAAATTTAATTATCTTCTCAACCATTTGAAGTCCTCGCAAATTATTTTAATGGTAACGCTATAGAGTTCCTTGCGGATATAATTTTATTCGAAGTGATCATATATCGTAGTATAAAAGAAAATCAAAACCACAGCACTGCGAGCACTGCTATATATATTGAATATTGCTAGACTTAGCGTGATTTATGAAACTATTAGCGTCTGAATAATGCTAAACAATAGTCTATCATCACGTCTGTTGCACAGAGGTTCCCAACTAAAAATCTTCACAAATCTTCTGTAAAGATTCACAAATCATTTGCTAAAATAATTGCCACATATTTAATAGTGCTTTAGATTAAAATAAAATAAATCAAATTGATCACAAGTTCCATCGAATAAGGATTAATTTATCAATTAAGGAGTTTATGGGAGGATTACCCATATATCTCATTTAGGTATTCTCGTTTATCACTGCAGTTCATATTAAATTATATACATACATATGCATAGAAGATCATATTTTTTATTTAGGAATAAGACTTATAACTGCAGCGATAGTAAAAAGATAAAAAATCGGAAAGAAAATAAAAATCCTTAAACAGCATCTTCAAATAAAAAGATAATCTTTCATAAAATATTTATAATGGTAAAATGGTTTTGTAATATGAAATATAGAAATTAGTTAAAAACTAAAATAATAAGTCAGTAGGTTACGTTAAGCTGAGAGCACACGTGCTAGTACAACTGTCAGTACTTCCACTCGGTAATATCAATTGCCTGTTGTGGTGCCCACGTCCTTATTTTATCCTTACCCTTGTTAAACTATTCAATATTCCAAATAAAACTGAAGAGATTCAGTAAGTGCACTTAAATTTTCTCTGTCAGGTCATAGAGATATTAACCAACCAGGCATTGAATTCTTCATAGTACTGAAAAAAGACATGGAAGCTGTATAATGGATTGTATCTCTTATTCATTGTGGCGACTCGTGCACAGTCTACTTTTTGGAATACAGCACACTTAGTACTCTAGTAAATAGCCCACTACTCCAGTAAATTCACGAACTGCAGGTTTGCTAAAGCCTAAAATGCTTTTCGTTTTTTTTCTGTTTAATCTTGGCTATCATAGTCTTATCAACATCGTAGTCTCCGAGATTGGATGAGTAAAATATAAAATCATTTTTCAACAAATTTTATTCTATCATAGAGAACAAACCTATTAGAGATTATTGTTAGTGAGGCTCAGAAAAAGATTAGGAACCGCTGGTATTGTTTAATTGTACAAATGCCAAGTGCACTGCTTGGTATGCAGAAGAACCACATACACCCAAAGAAAACCGCACGTACGATTGTTAGATTCCAACAATTTAAAATTAGATTTAATTTTAAAAGATTATCTCTAATTTAATCTTCATCTGCGATATGATTACAGTGCATGTCGAGATATGAAATCTTTCTTAAAAAAATAAATTCTAATGTTTATCTTATTTATTTTTAATGTTCTTTAAAAATATTTATTTAGTGCAATATATATGTATGCTCAGTGTACACTTATTTTTACTCTGCTGTATTCAATATATATATGCGGTATTTATATATATATGTGTGTTTTGTAAACTTTGAAAGCAGAAACAATTTATATATTTAAATAAAATGCATTAATTGCTATTTAATTAAAAATAATAAAAATTTTAAAAAAATCTATAAAGTTATTTTTGAAACAACTGTTGCAGTTGTGTATGATTTAATATTTAAATATATATAGATAGGTTGATATTAAGATTTGTTATTTAATAAGATTTTGTTACTTGCTAGTATATTTTAGATAAAATCCATAGGTAAAGACCAAAATGACCACGACACTGCTATAGATTCATTATTTAAATTGATTTTAGGACTATTAAGAACCTCATCGTCAAAGAAGCACTACAGAATTCTGAAAACTTTCCGCAACTGCAATTGATTACATTTTAAGATTACATAAAAATTATGAAAGAAGTCACAGACATCGATAAATATTAATCATATTATCCCAACTATAAATTATGAATATATATGTTACATTAGTCCCTGATCACCAAAATTACAGTGTTGTGCTAAGACACAGCAAAATTTACATAGTCGGAGTATATTGTATTTCTGGACATTCTTAACCAGTAATTTCATAGCAGTATTTGTACTTTCATGACTAGCCAAGATGTCAATAAAGCACTCATTATCAATAAATTAATAATTAAGAGATTGAACTTATATTAGATATAGCTACCAGACAACACATGACATAGCACACATCAGTTCCGCAAAGCATAATGATAATAAATATGAGAATATCTATATCCTCTTCTAATTATCGTATCAGGCAGAAAATTATTACAATCATAGAGAACGATTAATATTCAAAAATAATATCCCATTTCATAGATGGGATTTAAACAACAATTCTGGATTAAGTCTATACCTTTAAAGGACGGCTACCTAATTGATTCTGTATCTAAATCCTTTAATACTAAATATAGAACTTAATTGACTTTTTTTAGAGCTTTGATTTACCTTCTTTTACAAATTACAAATTTACAAATTTAACTTTTGCACCTTACTTACTTAATGGCCGTTACAAATGTGAGTCGTTCTTGGCCGCGTCGAGTAGCCCTCCCAGTCAGCCTGATTAGTTGTTTGCTGTCGCCAGTTGGTAGTACCGAGCGCCCACTAATCGTTGGTCACTTGATCCTTCCACCGAAGATGTGGACGTCCGCTACCTCATTTTCCACCTGCGGGTACCGAATCAAACATCTTTTTAGGCGGAACACTTTCTCCGCACGATTTTTGCACCAGATTTTTTAATTTTTTATAACTCTCGCATTTAGTAAGTATTCACTGGATTCGAAATCAATTCATGTGCGTATTGCTTGCTGATCACAAACGCATATAAAATAAAAAAACTGATTGAACACAACACAATTAATTTTTTTATTTTTATTTTTAATTGAAAATTGACAAAGATATTCTCTACATTCATATCATTGTTAAATGCGAATAAATATTCTCAAAAGACATTCATATTTTTATAATAATTATTATATAAGGTATTAGTAATTTTTATCATTTTTATAGGTGCTAACTATTATTAGTATCGTTCCTACAACACTTAAACCTCCATTTTTGGATAGATGACAGCAACCTATTTTGGAAGTACTTAGGAAACTTCACAAAAAAAACATCTTCTTCTACTTCGAACTATTTACTTGAGCTTCCACTGTTTTTTTTAAACTTAGCAGTTGTTGGAGCAATACACCTTCCTGGGTATTCGGTAGTTCGTAAGCCAAATTTTTACAAACTTCTTCCATTATGTTTAAAATTTTGTATGCATTTTTCTGAAATTAATAATTATTAGATTTAGTTATATAAATCTTCCAAACAAAAAACATATAATAAATATATCACCTTATCAGGTACGATATCCTTGTGTATATAATTTCGATCTAACTGTATGAAACTTGAAAGGTAATCATGCAATTCGAAAGCATATAGCTTCGATATACCAGGCGAGAGTAAACGTACAAGAGGCAAGATTTCTTCGTGTAATTGAATTTTACGTTCTTTAAGTTCTTCAGCTTTTTTATGAAATAAAATTTCATTTAAAATCATTAGAATATTGTGCTTTATACGAATCAATAGAAAATGATTAGTGTGCAATATCTTAGAGTATTTTTGTAACAGAGATTCCAATGTTACCATATCACCAGTTGCTCCATTTATTTCATCTTCAATATTACTTTTTAAAGCAGCTATATCAGATATGGAGGAATTTGCACCGCATAATTCACACTTCCATAGAGTGTCTCCTAGTGCAAAAGTCATGTATCCCTCTTCACAACTTGTACACTTGATCGCATTAATATACGTATTGAGCTCTGTTGGATCCCTGCATCTTTCACAGGTACAAAAAAGTCGTTTACTGTGGTAAAAAAGTTGGCGCTCATGTGTATCCTGAAATATATTTATTTTTGAAACTGCTTAAAAAATCATTTTAAAAAACAATCATTTTGAAAAATTTAGACAAAATAATATTTTATTGTAATTATAAAGAAAGAATTCCTAACATTTAATATAGATAAGTAAATCATACACCTTCTTATACAGTGATTTTCTTTTTTAACATAAGCCTAGTACTTATATCCATTTCGCAGGATAAATCAATTCGCCATACAAAAAAATGTTTACCTGCCCAAATTTTGTGAAACATGGATGTTAACTAAAAAAGGATGTAGGCTTTAAAAATATAGTTTTTTTTACACTGTCTATATTAGGGCTATCCAAAGCACGGCCCACAGGCCTCATGCAGCCCGAGACATTTTTCTAATCTACCACAATTAGGAAAATTGTTCTTTGTAATTTTTTAGTAACATCACATTATTTTATTGTTATGGTATCCCAAAATATATGAATTAAAATGTTTTCAATAATTTATTACACTTTACGGTAATTTACTTAATTGAGAAAGACTTTTATATATATTTTTTAATACAATATTATGTTAACGTTGTAAAAGATAAATTAATAAAAAAATTAATAAAACTAAGTTTATTACTACAGCCCTATTTTTAATTTTCTCCGGGAAAAATTATGAACGTATATATATATTTCTGCGGTTCTCCAACCTATTCAGTGATTTATATTGTCCCGCGATCTTATCTGGTCTGGAGATCCCTGCTCTATATCATTGCTACTTGTTTTCGGCAATCAAATAACACCCATTAGTTATAAATCTAAATTCTATTGGTTCTATTCTAATTCTAATTCTATTGTCATGATATGCAGAATATCTATGCTTAATAAACTTAATACCAAAGAAAATACACTAGGTATTATATGTTTTAATAAAGTTTATACTATGCTTATAAATCCATTAACTTCTATAAGAATTGTACTTACCATTAATGGGTTGGCATTTGATACAGATACTTTACTCCCAGGAAATATTTTCACAGTTGCAAAAATCCTTAGATTAAATGCATCATCTACTGTTATTGCACCATTTGGAATGCAACTACTCTCAATGTCTCCTATATTCTGATAGATGCATTTCAATATACTATCATCAGAAGCAAAAACAGGAATACTGTTTCGATCTATTAGAATACAGAGTTTATATAGATCGTCCTCAATTTTTTCACCAATACTCGTTAATTTATTCAAAAAACCGGTTGACAAAAAAGGTTGTATGACACTTTCCTCATAATCTTTACGTAAATCGTCCATTTGGTAGTCACTTAATTGAACTGATTGCTTTAAAAATTTTTCACAATATTGTTTTTTGGTTGGATTCTCCATTAACAATAACAATTTAAGTAGTGGAAATGTACCATAATTTTTTACCAACATATCCTTGGAAATACCTTCGTCTAACGCTTTACGAAGAAAATCACATTCGAACTGATCATGAGTGGTACAAAATAAACAAAGCGGTACAATACGACATTTCCTAGATGAAAGAAAAATTATTATATAAATATGTATTAATTATAAACTAATAATAATAGGTCTGAAATTGTTCTTTGATATACATACATAAATACAGAAGAAACTTACGTGCACATAACAAATGAAGTCTTCAGACAATTGAAACATTTCATCTGTTGATTGTTCCATTCTGTGATTATAAGTAATGGTTTTTCTTCTAGGAGCAATTGACCAGGCTCGATAATGGCATCAACTGGGTTTATGCTACAACAGATATATAAGATATATACAATTTTCAAAACTTTTATTTACTTTCAGTTCTAAATACTTTTTCAACAACTCGTTATCCGACATCTTCCTCTCTTCATAAATCGCAACCGCTCAATATTTAATTACACCGCAAAACAATGATCAACGCACTATTCCACACACCAGTGCCAAACGAACGAGCTCTTCAAGATATTTCTGAATAAAAGTGTTGCCATTATTTTTTGTTAAGATATCACATTGTCGACACCCATGTAAGTCCCTAATTACAAATGCAATGTGAAACAAGAAAATAAAAGCTGAAAATTATAAAATAATCTTTATATAAGGGGCTTGAGCTACATCCATGTTATTATATATACATTAGGGAAGAACAGTGATTATGGCAACTCTAGCAATCCACGGAATCCACTGTGCTTTAAGGGACTTCAATTAATACAAAAGTGCAAAACAAATGAAGAAAAACATTTTTAGTATTATTTTCGGTTATGTTTAGATTTATTTTTAGATTATTTAAACAGTAAATGAGCACAGATTATTATTTATGTTACGTTAATCGATTTTGTGCAATGTGAATGCTCACAGATACAGAATTCTCAGATGGGGAGTCTTTAAGATTACAAGGTACAAATGATCTACTTAAGTTTGCGTATGATGTAGAACAGGTAGCACTTTTACTAGACACCGAAAATGCTGATATAAGATTTTAATTCTATAAGAATATTTTTTACGAAAAGTGTAATTTCAGCCAACATAACATATTCTTTATATCAAGAGTTTATTTAAAAATTCCTAAAATGATTTTATGAAAATCAATAACTCTAAAAGCAATATTGTTATATTAAGTAAAAAACCAAGGGATCGGTGTCTAACTGCATTTGATAGGTTCCACATATTGCTCTAAGAAATAGCATGGACCAAAGATAGCCGTAAAAAAATGTAAGCTCTTCAATGTAACAGTTATAAGGTTATGCATTAGATAGTTATTTTTTAAATATATTTCAATACAAAATGACTTTTCACTTGGTAAACGAGTATACTATATATTGTATTTTATGAGCACCAAATTATTTTACTTCCAAGTACTTGGTTCAACTTGGCCAAGTGGTTTCAAGCGGCACTTCGTTCGAATAATTTTGTATCATTGAGAGAGTTTTGCAAAGAACGAAACAAATAGTAGTCAACTGAGCAAGATCTCGACTTACCTCACAACCTCACAACCTCCCAACCAAGTTCTGTTCATTTGTTCCAAGGCAACAAAAATGTGTGTTGCTCACTTGTTTCGTTTAAGCGGTCCAACGGTGAGTAGTATAAAAACGAATCAGCCGTTTCAAAAGATTATAGACAATTCCCTTCCGATTCTACCAAATACTCAAGATAACCTTGTTTGTCGTCAATATAGACTTTGATTTTTTTATATTATATTAATATTATTTAATATTTATCAATAATACTAATATTAATTAACTTAGTTTAAAGTAATTAATATTATTAATTATAGTATTTGTATTATTGATTACCATATAATTATAATTTGGTATATAAATTATTTTAAATTTTTAACTTTAACCACAATTGAAGGCACAAATAGTAATTTTGTTTTGTATTTTATTAGAGATGAAACGAAACATATATTCTTAAACTTAAAAATATTTTAAATTTAAGAGACTCAAAATTAACTAATAAAAAATTAACAATACATTTCTTTTTTTTATTTTGAAATAATCAACTATTGATACAATAAACTTTTCAAGCATAATAAATACTTTTATGGCTTTGTAAAAAAATAAATTTATCAATAGTTGGCATTTACAATTCAATTATAAACTTTAATCTCTTTAATTATTCAAAAAAAGTATGTCTTAGTTTATTTCCCTACTGAAAAGCTTAAGATTTGTATTGTAATGTAAATCAAAATTCTGTACTTAAATTTTAATTTATGTATTATTAAAATGATATCACTTAATTAAAAAGTTAAAGTAATATTACATTCTTAAACATCTCTTTTCTTCAATGTATTTATTTGCATTTGTTTTCTAACAATTAATATAACCTTGTATCTTTATCTATAATTATACATTTATTTATGAACTGATTTTTTCTAAAATCAATATTATTATTTTAGGCATTAAGTGTAAATCGAAAGCAATTGATTAAAAATTGTTTTTTACTTTCAATACACTTAACACTTAAAACAATTTCATTTACATAATCTCTTATACATCTCTTATATTTTTTTACAATTACATATTAAAAATACTTTGTTTTAATAACATGAAATATTTTTATTGCTATCATTAAGAATTCTCTGTTCCATTCAAGTGAGAAAATATTTTTTTATAATTTTCATAAATGTTAAAATATTTAATTCAATTTAAATTTGATTTCGTGTTTCAACTATTGGAAATTGGTGTTTTAACAATTATGCAGGTAACTTTTTATTATACAATTGATTAAAAATTTATTATCTTTTAATTGCATTGTGAAATTAATAATATATAACATTTGTTATAATAAATAAACTAAATGTACATTTAAGTATTACCTTCAGGAAATTATTTTCATTTGTGAATTCATTTTAATACAATACAAAAATAATTTGATTTTTTTAAATCCTAAATACACACTTATAATTGCAACATATGGTCTTTGCAACATTGTTCTTTTAAATACTGTACTATATGAAATTGAAAAACGTTTCATTAAATTAACATGTACAATAAGAAGGACATGATGTTCTTGTTCTTTTAAATACTGTACTATATGAAATTGAAAAATGTTACATTAAATTAACATGTACAATAAGGACATGATGTTCTTGTTCTTTTAAATACTGTACTATATGAAATTGAAAAATGTTTCATTAAATTAACATGTACAATAAAAAGGATATGGTGTATTAGCAGCAACCAATTATCGTGATTTGTAGTGCATATTTAAATAAAATTAAATATTTAAATAATTGTTGCAGGCAAAATATTATTTATTTTGAAAATTTACAATTTCTTTTTTATTAAAAGACCAAATATCTGCTGCATACACATTAGTTTTATATAACATTGACATCAGTAGCATTTTAGAACTGTACTCTGTACAAAAGAATCACATTATTAGAATAGATATCGGAAGTATAGTTAAACTATTACAATAATATTGCAAATTACTCTAGCACCACCAATTGCTTAATAATATAGGTACGTGCGTATACTTCAAATACCCATAAATGCAAAAGGTGATAAAAATTTGAATAAATAAAAGAGCTACATAGCCCAAAGAGGTTTCCTATTTTTGATGTCTCATCACTTAGTTTGTATATTTTGAATGAAATTGTGTATGCTACTGGAAACATAGAAATTATGCTAGTGTTCATTCCACAACACAGAAGTTTATGGAAGAAAATTATTTTCTAATTGTATTACACATTATGTACTAACAGTTCTAGTGGGTTCATATTATTTTCAATTATTTGCACTATAATTGGTTTAAAAAGAATTAAAGTTTTATATAACTTAACTAAATGCTAATGTGCATTTTTCACTTTTACGTTATGTATCAAAAAGTTGTTTACGTATTTATGTTTCTTAATAACAAAATTTACTTAATAATAATATATTCGATTCTTTTTAAAATATAATTATTTACTGCGTTTGCCACTAACATTTACACATCTCATGGCTTTTTGTACTCTACGTGCTTTTTTTGTTTCATGCGATGTTATGCCTTGCAAAGAAATAACATCTTCTGTGCCACCACCATTAGTTTCGATAAAAGCTGCGTTATTAATAGCACCTCCAGCAACATTAGATACACTTGAACCAGATTCTAAAATAGCTACACTGTCAGTAAGAGCAACTGTAGCTTCCGGTTTCTCGATTGTCGCTGTACTAACGATAACGCCTTTATGTGAAGTGTTATGCCCGTAAAACAATTGGGGGGAGTATCCCACACTGTTAATTGTATTACTAACACCACCATTAACAGGTGGTGTCTCATTGTCCTTAACTTTTTCGGTATTATTGCCGCATTGGTTGCCACAAAACTTAGTGAAAGTGACTAAAACAAATTTTTTTTATTAATATATAGTATTTCAAATGGTTATTATTTTATTTACCACTAGTGTCAGTATTATCATTTGTTTCCTGTTGAGAAGTATTGGCATTACCTTCATCGACAGTGGTTGACATAGCATGTTGGCGTTTATTTTTGTTTGAGGTGATTGCAATCAGTTTCGATGTTGTTGCCTCATCAGGATAAACAAATCCAGTGTCTGTTGGTGAATTGGTTTGATTGCTATTATTTTCTACTGACATCTCGTTTACATTTAATAAGTCTTCTGGCTTAACACCCTGATTAATTAAAGCTTGTATATCTTCAGAAGGCAACATGGGTACAACTTTTTGTCCACAAGCGGAACAAATTGGTACTGCTGGACTTTTTGAGCGCCAATATTGCAACTCAGTTTTGCATTTGTTAAGTTCCTGTAATTTAAAATATTTGAAATTAAATAAATTAAATAAACTGATTGCCTTTTGTGCGTATATTGGACTACCAAAAAATTTGTGAATGGCTTGTTCTCTACAAGTTGCCTGATGACCAAATATTATTCTCATCTATCCAACATTGTGAAACATCAAATTTTTTACATATTTTCAATATCTTACCTGTAACAAAGTTGAAAATTTGTGAGACATTTCTTCGTTCTTCTTATCGATCTCGTCGAAACGGTTCGCAAATTCCAATGTTTGTTTCTGTTGCTCAGCATATAATTTCATTTGTTCCGCAAGTTGCTTAGTTTGTTCGGCAGTTTTACGCTTGCAACTACGTAACTCCGTGCGCAATACCGATAGTTGGTTATTATAGATCTTCATGCCTTGTTTTATCTTACGTATTCCCTTACGTAGAACCATATTACTTTGTGGTGGCGACGGTAAACTAGATGAACTATCGGATTCAATATCGACAGCCAATGGTAAATTTGCTGTTAATATAAGTAAAAATTTTCAATAACTAAATTTATAATGTAAATTAAATATTGTTGCTTACATCGTTGAGTTATGGATGGCATTGTATAGAAATCCTTATTAAACGCTATACCTGGTAAAGTAGGCTCAATGCGATCTTTAAAATATTCCATGGCCATTGTTGATAAATCAAAAAGTTCATCAGTTACTCGATATGGA